TACCAACACCAAAAGAACTCGAAAATACACCATGGGACGCTATCATTTGCGTGAAGCTTTGTTGCGCCGTCCCTGGAATCTTTATATTTACTCGCTTCTCCAACTCCACGTAAATGTTGTGAGCTTTTTGTTCTTCAATCAGCTCTAAGATATCCTCACTGGATTCGAATCTTCACAACTCGTTCCCTTCCATCAAATACTGCCCACAATATGTACTCAAAATTACAAGGATCGGTGTTCAATAATGCTTGAACACGAGAAACTACTTCAGAATACATTTGTCGACCGTAATTTATTCTCATCAGCTCTGCCACTCTACCGAGATATGAACCCCCGGAAAACCTACCACCATAGCTCACGCATACTCTAACACGGTTGGTAGCCATTCAAATAAGTCAACAACAAAACAAATTAAAACGAAAGAAACAAAAAATTGCAGTAGAGAAGAATGACAGATGTTGAATTGTTAGAGATCACTGTTTTTTAGCCTGCATGATAAATGCACATACAAAATCCTCACATGTGAAAAAGCAGTCAATTAATGAGGTGCGTAACTTATGCGACAGATATGCGATCAAATTCTGAATAGTCGTAAAATTGCCATGACGATATGGCCCTGCGAAAAAATAGTGTGTAATCATCAAATAAATTATGCTTTATTCGATTTGGTTATGCGATTCTTCAATATGCGAGCGAAAAAATGTCGCATAATTGTCACTTATCCGGCGGATATATGCGAAAGTTTTTCGCATACTTGTAAATTATGCGATTGCCTTGGATATGCAATTTCTAGAAAATGTGAATTCAACAAATTATGCGAATTTTATGCGAAAGATTTTCGCACAGTCATAAATTTGCAAGGACGATATAGCCCTGCGAAAAGAAGGCGCATAATCATCGTAAATTATGCTGCATTTGATTTTGATATGCGATTCTTAAAATTGCGAAAGATGTTCGCATATTTGTAAATTATGCGTTTGATATGGATATGCGATTACAAAAAAAAGAAATGTTTCACATAGTCATAAATTATGCATCCGGTTGGATATGTGCTGGTTCATTTGGACATACGAGTGTAATATCGCATAGCATTTCGTGAATTTTGGGGTGTAAAAAAAGTTATTTGATGGGGCGGTGTGTAAAATACATAATAGATTTATAACGGGGTGAAAAAGATGTTCACCCTTCATTTATTGTGGGTTGTTGAATTCCTCAACTACTACTTTCTCTCTCTAGAATCGTGTAATAAATTCCTATAAGAACTCAGTATAAGAGAAATGCCGACCTCGTTATCAGAAGCCGACCTCATAACTACTTAATAAAATCCAATTAAATTGTGTATCTTTCCTACTTTCTTAATATTCACTCTCATATAATCTTATTTTAACCGTTGATCGGATCTACCCATCAAGACACACTAAATTAATTTCCACGTTGTAACGCCTGCTTATTTTTCAATAGAACCATAGACCGACATGTTGAGATCTATGAGGATCTCGTTATGTACAAATCACGAATTCAATAGCAAACGTATACTATGCGCAACGGATCTAAAGGTTTGCGTAGAAAACTTACGACTTAAAATTTATGGTGATCTGGTTGATCTTCCAGATGGTTGTACACACGAACTTGATTGGATCACGAATGGAACGTCGGGCTCGCAATCGTATCGCGTGGACCAAGCTTGTCAGATTGGCCGGGTCGGATCGTGGGTGCAGCGTCGGGTGCGTTCGCGGACTGCGGTGGCACATTGCGGGTCACCGGGCTGCTCCAGTGGGCGCGTGCAGGACACGTCGGGCTCGGCTGGTTGTGGCTCTGGTTCGGCTGACTCGCGTCAGTCGTTCGGTTCGGCTGGGGTCGACGGTCTCGGGCTTAGGCTCGTGAATCGTCGAGTTCGTGCAGAAGATAATAGGGTCTCGAGTACCTATTGATCTTCTATTGTATATCTCAAACACCCTCTTCAACTTGTACCGGTGGAACAACCAAAAGAAGATAAAGCTCGAATGGAAACTGAGAGAGAGAGATAGGGTGCACGTGGGGAGGGGGGTGTATTATGATTTGTGTCTCCTCTTCCCATGAGTTTAATGATGTATATAGAGCTACAGTATGGACCCTTAGAAGATTATGAGAAGGTCTCCTTAATTAGTTAAAATACTTGTGGGTCAGCCCACTTATTCTAATTAATTAAATAATATTAAATGGGGCACCAACATAATCTTATTGCACTCTCTTTTCCTAGCCCAATTTACAATTGAGACTCCAATAATAATTACTCGATTTATCTCCCCATGTTTAACATATAATATCCATTAATCCGATTACTGAAAATCAAGAATAATTAATTTATTATTATTTCACCGAAGCTAGCGCTCGCTCATACATTCTCACTATGCCGGAATTTAATCCACCTGCAGGGTTTAGCATAATAATCCTTCATGAACTCACTCTAGGGATATTATCGAACTAAACGTACATGGTGACCGTAATCCTAACAACACATCCTACATGTAGCAATATTACCCAAAACAGAGGGTTTATTGGCCCAGTTCACTAAGCCTCACCCATGTGAATCAAAGTAATAAGTACTACACATATATGCATGTTTAATATCTTACGGGTTAAGAGCACGCAGTAATTAACCGAGGCCTAGTTCGTTTACGACGATCAGTATAAAACGAACTACTCTTCTCTGGGATCCTGTTCAATACATAAATGTATTAGTGCAACTAATCAGTCAAGACAAACTATGCATTTGACACTACAACCGTTCTGATGGGGTGTTCATGTCCATCTAGGTTGTGAACCAATTATTCTTATTTCGCGAGTTACTGATAGTATGATCTTCGGTTCGCCCGATGACGACCCACACTATCTAATACAAACAACATAACGTAGAACTTGTTTAATCGAACATGTTTCTCATTCATAAAGGGTAAAAGTGTAATATCATCCAAAGCCAAGCTTTCAGTATATAACACTAACACGACAGTGATACTGTGTTGTAATGCCCGTTTATTTTCCAATAGAAAATACTCAGTTTCCCGAAATTGAGTTAATTTTTCAAAAACATTTTCAAAATCAAACTATTCGAGCATTACTCAAAAGACCTTTCTTTCTATAACTCGAGTCAAAATAGACTCTCATTCACAAAGTATTGAACACTCAGTTGAAAAACTCGTCACACATTCAATATCAATCCCAAAATAACACAAAGTCAGAAACTTTATTAGGGAAGCAAAACAATTGCTAGATAAAATACTTCGACCACCCTTGTCTCCTCTTGACCGTTGTCAGCTACTCAACCTGAAAAATGTTAATGTATGGGTGTGAACAAACACAAGCTCACCGTGGGAACTATGTAGTTATTCATCATAACAAACAGATAACATAATCTCAATATGTGATGAACCACAAATCTCAACCATCTCAACTTCTCAATTCATCAGTTCGTCTCATGTGTACACACTTTTACTGTCTGCTCGCCTTCACATAGTCACATGCGCTCAACGATAGGAGCTCACACCGAACATGCCACACAGTCAATACACATGCACCACACAATCTTGCGCCACACACAATCAAATTCATCACACAACATATTATTCATTCACATATATCAACTATAAAATCATGTGATTATAAAGAATAAAAGAATTGTAGTTTAAAAACACCCACCTCAGTTCGGATGGGTTGTACGCCTGGTCACGGGCTCGGGCTTGAGGGGTGAGCATCTGGGGCATGCTGCGGTCTTGGGGGTCATGTTGCAGTGTCATCCAAAAGGCGGCGCCCTTGTTGGCGCTGCTGATGCGGGGCGTTGGGACGTTCGTGCGCACCTGCTCAAAAGCCCGCTGTAGGTTCAAGGTCTGACCACACACACTGGCTTGAAGGAATTCGTGCACTCGGTGATGGCGATTGCTACTCTCGCGTGAGTCAACGGGTCGACCGCAGTAACTTCCGGCCCTCGACAGCACTAGCGATGGGGGCTGCTGCGAAGTACGCGGCGTGGCGCACATTGTTTACCAGTGACCCGATGGCATCCATAGACTCAACATGGTAGGCGCGTTGCACACCAGCGCACGTCACCCTCATCGCTGCGTCGCCCAGTTGCGGTCTGCTGCGTGGGTGACTTTGCGTCTCTCAGCACGGGCGTGTGTGCTGGGCCCCAACCGCATAGCTACACTCGGCACGAGCTGTCTCTCGGTTCAAGGGTTCAACGAGATTTTAAAGCATAATTAAGGGTTCAACACATCAAAGAATTTCAACAACTCCCAAGGCAAATAAGGTTATAATTTTCATGGCCCAAGGCTAATTATTTTAAGGCATCAATCAAGAGTCCGAATATCTACCATTTTTCACAAGAATTCTTCTCAAATCTAAAGATCCAACACTTCACACATAAAGGATCTAAAATCAAGAAGTAGAAAGAGAGAAATTTGTAATTTCACCTCTCTTCGGAAAATTACACGCAGACGAGGGGTTGAAGACAGAATTGTGACTCAACACGACACTCCTACTCTTGGTTGCTTGCGCTCGGGTTTGGATCGCGTATGTTCACGCATAGCCTTGGTCCTTCTCAGAGACACACGCGTGGTTTTGTTTGTGTGCAACTTTGGTGGCTAGCAATCGGGTGCATCGTAGACCTCGGACTGCTCGTCTCGGCACGATGTGAGATCACAACTCACGACGCCTGAACGAACTCGAGTAGAGGCTCGCTTGCTCGGCGCTCGTGGACAAGCCATATACGGAGGCTCCTCTTCGGATCGCGGTGGCATGCGGTGCTTGCGGGGTGTGACAACTGGTTGTCTGGGCGCGACTGATCACGAAGGTCGCGTGGTGCGTGCTCTCGCGATGGCTGGGCGCAACAGCGATAAGGGCTGCTGCGGGTCCCCTCGCGGTGGCTGAAGGCTTATTGAGAAGAGGGTGATATTTTAGAGTTTTGGTCTCCTTTTGTTGTTGAAAACATGGGGTGAGGGATAAGAAAAATGGAGGAGAAAGACCAAACAAAAACTTTACTAATTAGAGGAGAATGAGGAAGTTTTTTCTTACCAAACATTACAAGGCATAGTTGACAATTTAAGGGGCATGTGGCCGGTTTTAGGAGCTCAAATGAAGGCAATAAATCAATTCAAAGGGGAAATAAAAACTTACCCAAGTTGTTCATAAGATCTTGAATTTCGAAATTTAAAGATTGAGCCAAAACCAAAGTTATAGGGCCGGGTTCATGGGGTTTAGGGCCGGACTTATTGGGCTGAAAAATATGAGGCTTAAAAGGCTATTAAATCGGGCTTTGCTTGGTAAAACAATTTGAAAAAGACCTGCTTGAAAAATCAAATGTCAAACGAATTTTCTCTCAACAAACGAACTAATAAAATTTTAAATAATTTAAGTAGACGAGAACATCTACGACATTATTTAGATTAAAATAAATGGGGACATCTAGATAATCATAACGGACTTGAATGAATTTGACGAGCTAACATAACAAGCAATAAACAAAGAAATTCACACAGACATACAATAAGTAACCAACTCTTAATAATCAAAGGGACAACTACAAAAGCTGGGGTGTTCGATGACCGGAAGCCAACCGCCGACGGCGACGGCCGGCTGGATACCAGAAAAGACATAAAAAAACTAAGCGGAAAAAGAGGTAAAAAAAAAGAAAAGGAAAAAATGCAAGGAAAAGTTTAGAGAGAATGAGGAAGAAAAAGTCTAGAGAGAAGGAGTATTTTCTTTTTTCGTTTAAAGCTCGTTTAGTCAACGAGTCAGACTTGACTCAGTTTGATAAGATTCGAAACAAACTTTTACTTAATTATAATTTTTTCTATAATTCGGCTCGTTAATATTAATGAACAAAGCAAGTCTGGGCTCAATGTTTAGCTCGTTAAGTTATCGAGCTCGAGCCCAAACACCGAGAGCCCGAGTTGACTCAACTCGACTCCTTACCCATTTTACATAAATTGCCATCACTTTGCCTCCCTCCGTTAAAATATCGCTGAACCACTCAGGTTACTCCCTTCCTAAACCAAACTTGCCCTAAACGGAAAAAATTCCCCAGAGCTGGGCTTTTGAAGATAGTAACCATTATAAGAAGAGGTGGATTTTGGTTGCAGCTGGTGGAACCGAGTGCCGGTGGGGATGGCTAGGGTTCCTTTGGGTTGCGAACCGGTGGTCGGTACCCTAACGCCGTCCAGGAAGCGGGAGTACAGGGTCACCAACAGGCTCCAGGAAGGCAAAC